ATATGCCTAATATCCCTTATTTATTTTATCAATTTATCATTCCTTTTACAGAGAGTTGTGACATACGGGGATGACATCTTTAGCTATTTTTGTTCCGTTACACCAAAGAAGTATAACTTCTTACGTACATAAGTACACACATTCGCTTTTATTTTAAAATTTAAATGTCAAGTTTGTGGTTACAGATTTAGGTTCGCCATTGTTCCTACGTCTTAATTAGCATTAAGAAGCTAAATTATAATTCCCACTTTAGTAATTGCATAAATAACCCGGTCCCCGCAGTATGTAAATTATGTTAAAAGCGCTTATCTACTTGTAATCACTCGAGCAAAGTAATTAAAATTGTAGTCCTGGTAATTGTCTGGAGTTTCAACTTCTCTTAATTTTTCATCACATTTTTGTCTCTAAAAGTGATAAAAGAATACTTCTTAAGTATAAGGGAACAATATTATCGGACTACTATAATTAGAAATGCAAAAGTTTATGCGTGCGTGTGTGCGTGTGTGCCTGCGTGCGTGCGTGTATGCATGTGTGAGCTGAGCTATGCTGAGCCGAACTAAACTAAACTAAACGGAGTGAAACGGAGCGAAACAGAGCAGAGCAGAGCTGAGCGGAGCTGAGCATAACAAATAGACAGACAGACAAAAAATTAAACAGAACAGAATTAGACACTTCAATTTTATTTATCTGTATAGATTATTATTTTCATTACTTTTCTTATATTTGACTCTGCATATAATTTTTCAGTGACGGTGAACCTTCCCAAGAGGGGCGAGAACAGAGTTGGTCCAAGCCAATGATCCTTCTATAAGACGTTTTCAGGTTAGAACGTTGTTACTTATTTACTATTTCTTTAGAATTTCCAGAATATAATTGATAAACTAACCTAAACAGAGCGGAGCAGAGCTGAGCTGAGCTCATTGTAGGCATGGCGGATGCGATAAACACGAGTGAAGACGTAATTACGAAAATAAAGGACACTATAAACGCGAGGGACTCTGGCCTACAAATTGCAAAAAAACCAGACATCGACCACATAAAAGAGACTCTAGAACAATAGAATTTCAAGGTGAACACCAAAGAAAACAAGGACCCCTTAGTTATTATAAGAAATCTTACAACTAGCATCACGGATAAAGGCATCTTAGAAGCTTTAGAAAAGCAAAACCCGAAAATATTAGACCCAATCCCAATGGAGCATTATAGGATGAAGGTCTGACACAGAAAGAAAGCCAAAAACTCAATGGAAAACCGCGTAGTTTGGCAGGCAATGACAACTGCAGGAATACTCTATGTGGGATTCCAATGTATTCGACCTCTCCCCCCTCGTCCAGTGCTCAAAATGTTTGGCCTTTGGTCACGGCAAGAAATGGTGAACAGTCTGTCGATCTGTGCAGCCATTGTGCAGGACCACACATGCGCACTGGATGCCCAAGTTATTGGCAGTTGAGGAGCCCACGTACAGGAATTGCCAGCAGGCAAATTGCGCAAGGGATAAACCATAATAGTTTTGACTCGCACTGTCCGGTACGGAAAAAATGGGAAAATGGAAAAATGGGAAAAAAATAAAGAAACAATAAAGTGTGCTCCTATATTTACATCTTATATATTAAAGTCTAATTAAATTTCATGATTAAACACTGTTATTTTGAGCTTAACGTAAATATAAACCGAGGTCTACAAAGCGTATAAGACTTACTGGAGCGCACAATCGATCAACACTACGCCGATGCCCATCACCGCTCAACCGGACATAACAACTTTATACGCACATTACGTATTGAGAATATGTAAAGAAGGTTTCAATATATATAATTTATTTGCTATTATTCTCTCTAATAACAACTTATATAATTTTAATTCTTTTCGGGATGAAAATATATGGATTTTAAGTAAAAAAACATAAATATATAGATGCTAATAACTTCTATCGTTCGCAATATTTCTTTAAAATAAAAACTTACGGACCTAGTTTTTCATTATATTTATAACATTTCCAAAAATTATGAAGATTATATGGGGGGAAAACGTTATCGCTTTTTGTATGAAAATTTACAGCTTCACAGTCCTCTTAACAAATAATATTATGCTTAGGTACATTACTGGCCATATATTTCAAAGCTTATAAAATAGTTATAGCGTGCCCACTAAGATACTAGCTTATCAGATAACCTTTTACAAAAACTTTATTATTTATTAAAGCTAGTTAATAATTATTAACGTAACCTATTGGTCAGTAACTAAAATAATTTCATATACATAAGCTATAGGCATATATTTATATAGGCATATATTTATATACATAAGCTATAGGCATATACAGTAACTCTAGGGATCTAATAGTTCAAAAATGTATATAATATATTGTAATGTAATTTTTTATGCAGCTAAAATAAACTAAAATATATAACTAAAATTGGTTTATACTTAGCATAAATAAGCTGATTTGTGTATAAAATGAAACGAACAACTTTCTTACGTAGAAAACTTTGCAGTATATGAATTAATTAAATATAAATACTAGAAACTTTCTAATAGAGTATCGCAGATAAAGTTTAAGGTCTGCACGTGATGGGCGTGAAAATGTATACCTGTCTAAGTATTTCCTTCCTCGTTTAGTAGTTTATATCTGCGTGACAGTGTTTGTACTAGCTTCTAGCGGCAAAATAGTGCATAATGTCGGAGTTAGGAAATTGTAGACACCATACAGTATACAAATTATACTTACTTGTAATACATATTTATCATTATTATTGATTATACTAGCGACTTACTCTAGCTTAGCTCGTATACATCCATAGGTGCCTAACAGTCGCCTATGTACTCCGTGTTATAGTCTCTTTCTAAATTTCATCCAATCCCGTCCAGCCATTTCAACGCGAAGGGCACACACGCACACATACATACACACATACGGACACACACGCACACAGACACACACAGTACACACACATACGAACTTTCGTATTTATAATAGTAGTCCGATAAATTACATTTAGGGCGCGTACACATAGAACGTCCGATTTTACAGGATCCTTTTTAACTGATCCGTCGCTACTGGAGGTGATATTCACACAGCATTTACAGGAACGATTTTAACGGATCCGTCGCTACTGGAGGTAATAATATTCATACAGCATTTTTACTTATTTCCGAATGACGACATCTACTTTTGATGACCTTCTTAAAAGATTAGAAAAGGATTTAAAAAAGAAAGACACAAACGCCCTAAGGGCGCGTACACATAGAACGTCCGTTTTACGGGTCCGTTTAAACGTATATGTTATTAGCGTATGTAGTTGTATGAGCCAGTTCACACACATGACAGTATTCCGGATCTAGTAAAAAATCCCATACACAACAGAAATACTGACCCGTTTTATCGGATCGAAACCGCGCGAGGCTTGGCACAGGGGTGCGGGGGTTTTCCTCCAGTTTGTGTCTTTCTTTTTTAAATCCTTTTCTAATCTTTTAAGAAGGTCATCAAAAGTAGATGTCGTCATTCGGAAATAAGTAAAAATGCTGTATGAATATTATTACCTCCAGTAGCGACGGATCCGTTAAAATCGTTCCTGTAAATGCTGTGTGAATATCACCTCCAGTAGCGACGGATCAGTTAAAAAGGATCCTGTAAAATCGGACGTTCTATGTGTACGCGCCCTTACATATATCTTTGGGAAAACGATTGTTAGTATAATTAACGCAGCTGTAAGCTCTAAAATATTAATATGCAAAGCTTTTTCATTACAATTATTACACACAATTCCAGAAAGCATCTGTGCTTTTACCGTTACTATATTATAATATCCGAAAATAGCTCTAGCGTATAATTATAACCTCAAACGCAAAAATGGCTCAAAATCTACATTATTCAATCACTAAGTCATGGCGCTTTCCAGAGGCCGTCCGATAGAATAAGTTTGCTGGTAATTCTCACATTGATATTTAAACATTTTTAAAGACTAGAAAGAAGGTACTTTAGGGTCTGACTTTAAAAATGAGGAGGTTCTCAATTCGAGTGGTATTTTTTATGTATATACCTACACCGATTACGCTGAGATTTATGAGATCCGATTTACGAGATTCTTCTTTAGTTTGATGCGGAATAGTTGCCATTTGGTACCATAAAATTTAACATAGTTTGGCCCAGTAGTTTTCCGCCGCGTTAAGAAAAATGAAAAATGGATGATGAGAGTGGTTTTTACGATGCGACAGATTTAGACTACAGTATGAATTTAGTCGTTCAATATCCCTTTAGTGAGATATCTATATTCAAAATATTTAAAATAAAATAAATAAATAAAAAAGTATTTATTGCCATATATAACTATGATGAGGTTATGAAACACTTGATTTTTTTGCCTTGCGACTCGCGTTACTGTTTGCGCGCATGCGCAGCACTCACCTATCTATACGTTAAATTTATTCAAACTATTTATATTTATTTAATAATTAAGGAAAGTGGAGCTGGTGAGAACTCTACTTGAGCAATTACAAATGCAACTTGAGCAGTATTTTAGAACTTTGAGCAATTTAAAATATTGTATATATCAAAAGATATAGAAATTTGAATATACGGATAAATGAATTTTTTTTCAAGGACTTTATTGATTTTTAATTTTATAATTAATGGTGAGCAATTTGGAAGGGCTACGTAGTTGAATTGAGCTATTAAAAATCTATCGATTAGTATTTTTTTCATTGCGAATATCATAAATTTGCAGGTTGGGGTAGGGTAGGTGATCCAGTTCTATGTGCATCTTGATTTCATAAAGAAGAAACTTTGAGACCTTATATTATCTGTGATAGATAATCTACATTTTTCGACAAAAGTTGAACGGATGTTTTTGACAAATCAACTTAATGAAATGTCAAATTGAAAAGTTTTTGACTTATACTTAAAACTATTTATTTTTGATGTGGTTTATTTCGTTAATATTTAAATATTCGTAAATAACGAAAGTTATTTGATGGTTAAGAAACATACAAAATATTCTGAAATGTATTCATGGGTAATACAAGTGGTGTAACATTCGGTTATTTATAAAAAACCTATATTACCTAGAATATTTAAAATGTTTTCAGGGTGCTAACTCTCATGGACAATTAGGACTTAATCTGACAAGTGAGCAAATAGAGAAGCCTACTAAAATAGAAAATGATTTTATTAATTTTATCAAACAAATATCTTGTGGTGGTGGCCATACCGTCTTATTAGATAAAGAAGGAAAACTTTTCTCATGTGGATGGAATTTAAAAAAACAACTAGCTCAGGAAAATGAAGTATATACTTTTAATCGTATTTGGCGTTTAAGTGGTATCAAATTTATAAATATAGCATGTGGATGGGATTTTAGTTGTGGTGTTACAGATGATAATTTTCTTTTTGTATGGGGTTCTAATAGTCATGGTCAACTTGGATTGCCAAAAGATCATTTCCCTGAAGATGTACATCCAATAAGACTACAGGTAAATGCATGTGCCATATCTATGGGATTAAGACACACTGCTATTGTTAACTCTAAAGGTGAGATATGGACAACAGGTTGTGGGAGACATGGACAACTTGGCTTAGGCAAAGATATACTACAGTCAGATAGATTCCAAAAAGTTTCTAAATTAAATAAAATCTCACATATTAGCTGTGGACAGAATCATACTGTTGCTTGGAACTCTGAAGAGCGAGCATTATATGTTTGGGGTGAAAATAAACATGGGCAGTTGCTTTTATCAACAGATAAATATAAGAAAATTTTTACACCAGAAAAAATTGATATAGATGTAAAGCAAGAGGTAAAAAAGCTTTTAAGTGGTTGGACCAATGTATTACTATGGCTGAAAGATGGTACCTTACTTACATGGGGAAGAAACAATCATGGACAACTAGGGACTAATATACCCTTTGCTGGAAAAATTATACATGTAAAATTACCAGGTAAATTATTTTACATTAACCCTATTTGGGTTTTGATTAGTAATATGAAGCAACAATTTATTAATACTTTCTTAGATTTACGCGAATGTTTGACATTATTAAATAAAACTATCTTTTCGGATTATTTCGCGGATTTATTTTGATTTTTTTGATTTTTGGTTCCCGACGTTTTGAATGCTTTACAGCATCCATGGTCACGGGAGAGACTGAGGTGTTACATGTCTTAAAGATATAGTTGTTACAGACAGCCTACCCACAATTAACAAAATGAAAATTGCACCAATTACATTACAATATTTTTAACTTTAAACATTTTTTATAATTTTAATTATAATTGAATATGGAAAATTATTTATTTAATTTTTGCTATTATTTTTATAATTATTACAATTTTAAAAATATTAATTAGTAATCTATATTTAGTGTTGCCATTATTATATTTATAACCATAAATAAAAATATAAAAATATTTATTCTTAATTTCTAATAATTATTAATACTATATTTTTATTTATGGTTATAAATATAATAATGGCAACACTAAATATAGATTACTAATTAATATTTTTAAAATTGTAATAATTATAAAAATAATAGCAAAAATTAAATAAATAATTTTCCATATTCAATTATAATTAAAATTATAAAAATGTTTAAAGTTAAAAATATTGTAATGTAATTGGTGCAATTTTCATTTTGTTAATTGTGGGTAGGCTGTCTGTAACAACTATATCTTTAAGACATGTAACACCTCAGTCTCTCCCGTGACCATGGATGCTGTAAAGCATTCGAAACGTCGGGAACCAAAAATCAAAATAAATCCGCGAAATAATCCGAAAAGATAGTTTTATTTAATAACAACAATTTATTCATATAATTTTAAAAACTTTCAGACAACAGAGTAGTGAAAGATGTTGCGCTTGGTTCAGAACATACAATATGCTTAGCTAGTGATAACACACTGTGGGCATGGGGGTGGAACGAACATGCCAATACAGGAACATCATCTGAGGATAGTGTGTTTATTCCAACTAAAGTACCAATAGAACCAGGTTCAAAAATTACACAAACATATGCTGGAAGTGCTCATAACTTTATAGTAACAGAATGTGTTGAAGCACCCAAACCAGATTCTAAATCTGAGGAGTAATGTACATATAAGAATAGTAATCAATATTTTATGCATTTTGTTTACAACTCTTATTTATTGTATGAAGACTTAATTAACAAAATCTTTGTTGCTAACTTATATAGGTATTATTATATAATTAAAAATGTAAATATTATTGGATACAATTTTCATATTGCAATAATGCTTTTTAAGCAGGTAATTTCAATTTCCAGTTGCTAATCATCTTTATAAAAAGTTAGATACAATCTTATGTCAGAAATTTCCAATTATTCCATTACCTCTATTTTATTACTTAAAAAAATATTATGCTTTATAGTAGGGGAGCCCAAGAGGGGATTTTTGTAGTTACTCAAGCGCGGCAGATTAACATAAAAGAGGTTACCTTGCACTCTATTGAGTACTTTCACCATAATATAAGTCTTCTATATAAAGGGGCGCATCTAGGGAAGCCGATTAAAATATTTAAAAAATGTTTTGATAAGGTAGAAATACTTGAAACCGTCAGATTAAGGTGTGGTAGGCTAGTCACATCCTGAAAAGTGTCCAATTCAATAATCTGCCGATTTGCACAAGCCGAAGAGGCAAAAATCAACTATAAAGTTTATGATAATTACTACTATTAAGGACCAAAGAAAATTAAAACCATTTTAAAATGTAGCAATTTATTGTTTAAATGGTTAATGCTATTTTATACATAATCTAATGATAGTTCATTATAGCATAAAAAGAACCTAAAAATCTAACAAATAATACCTTAAGTAAATTAAATAACTATTATCAAAAGTAATCATTAGAACAATAATTTTATTTGAAATAAAATTCCTGGACAATTTTTATTTATTATATAGTTTAAAAAAGATAAGAAATAATAATAATGCCAGGACAAACAAATATAATGTATCACACCAAATAATTAAATTATACAACTTTAATAATGTTTTCAGAACAAAACTAGTATTTTAACATATACAAAAGGGATTTTAAATTTGCTACCTTTTTCTTTCACCTTTTTGTGTTTTACGTTTTTCTTTTTTCTCTTCTTTTAATGCCTTTTGTTTTTCCCTGGTAAATAAAACAAAACATGAGTTTTGCAATAAGTTTATAAAACATTTATTTTATTAGAATTATATTTACCTGTCCTCTTTATCCTTTTCTTTTTTGCGTTGAGCATCTTGACGTGCTTGTTCTCGACGCTCCCGGGCAGCTGCTGCTACATCTGTAGCATTTGTATTTTTCACTAAATCCTGAGAATCAGTTTCCTCTTCATGTTCTTGATCTTCCTACAAAGTAAAACGTTCATATCTTTATACATTAATATGTGAATTTTGTATACATATATTAATTTTATAAAGAGAAACTGATAATATTAAAAAATACCTCATTATCAGGCAGCTGACTATATTGAGACAGTATGGCTTCACGTATTTTTTTTTCTTCATCAGTATATTCCCGACGAGTTGTTGTTGCTAAAGACTGAGATTCCATCAATTTAGCCAATTGAAGATCTACATCTGCCACAGATTTGGGAGCTTCTTTTTTAGGCTTGCATAACTCCCATTTGTCTATTATTTCATTAATGTGAAGTGATATATCATTCTCCTGTAAAAAGTTTTCTTTTTAATTAATAATAAAATTGATTTATAAAGTTATATATTCTAACCAATAAATTTGAATCAATTACTCACGACAATTTCAGATAGTATGCCTTCTAAAGCATCTTTTTTTTCATCTATAGATTCTTCGCTTTCTAAAATGCCAGATATATATGAACCAAATACGCTTTCATCAGTTTTTAAAGATCGTAATTTATCAATTAACCACGGCTGAAATTCTTCTACGGCAGCCGCCATGTTGACATATCCCATTCTCATTACTTTTATGATGACAATGACATTTGTCACTTGTCAGCAGGACTGCCAGATAACAGTCGTTGATTTACCCGACCGATAAACCTCAAAATACCCGGTTTATCCCGCCAGCGCTAACCATGAGCAGAATACCCGAAAATAGTTTTTTTTTAAAGTAAGTTTGTTTGTTCGTCTATCTTTTACGTGGAAACGGAGTGATGAATTGGCGTGATTTTTAGTGTCAAGATACTTGGAACTTGGTATTAATGCTCTTCAATACAAATAAATAAATGTTTTAGCATTTTTCGAAATTCATCCTATAAGGGGGTAAAATGGGGGACGAAAGTTCGTATGACTACCTTTTTAGAGATTTTTTTATAGTTTTAGCGGGAGCGGGGTTCTGCTAGTATAAAATAAAAGAAAGTGCTAATTTCTAATGAAAAGAAGTCATTGTAATCAGTTCTCAATAAAACTACTTTAAATTATTAAATCAAACATTAAAAAAACTTAAAAAAATGAAACTAATCAGCGAAACTAATATACCTGCTTTCTACTAAAATACCCGTCAAAATTACCCGCCATCAAAAATCGTCTAAAATTACCCGCTTTTCGTGTATTTTACCCGCCATTTGGCAGCGCTGTTTGTCAGAGATAACCAAAGACCAATAGGACATGTTTCCATTCTAGATTCATGCACGTCCATAATGTAAACCTTTAAAAAAAAGTAAAGTGGAAAACAACTTTAATAACCAGTAACCACTAGAACCCCGCGCTTTATGACATTAAACACCGCGCTCGCGCCGCAAGCAACAAATGAGCCGCGAAGGCTTAATTTATTGAATTTAAGGCTATAAGGTTTTGTATTTATTTGTAACTAACAACTAATATAAATAAATCAAGAATTGGTTTTGTGCGATTACATGTTTATTCATAAAATAGTGTTTTAAATTTAGTGTAAATATATATCGTGATATTGTCAGAAATTAATAAAATACAACAACTAGTACATTTTACTACTAACACTGATATATTTTTAGCTTATTTATAATTCATCAATAGTTTAAAACCCAAAACAGCTTATATAACTAGCTATATAACTTGAATTATGAGTGTTTTTTTATGTAATGGTTGTATCGAAAAAAAACGCGCGGCTACTTTTCAAAATGCTCGATTGAGCGGAACGTTGCTGTAGTTGAAACATTCAAAGTTAGCATTATGCCGCTTATCGCGCTATAGTATTCTAATTCGAAAACAGGGACTATTAGGTATACCATAACGAATTTTAAATGGTACTTATATGTTTTATAATCTGTATTTTAGCTGTCAATTGTCATTTGTCCCGTCATGCTAGATAATCTGTATTGTTCGTACTTGTATCGGTATAACAATTACTAAGCAAATTCAAGATTATTAAAATTATTAAAAATATATATTAACTTAAATAATGTCTGCTAGATACGACAGAGCTATCACTGTATTTTCTCCAGATGGTCATCTTTTACAAGTAGAGTATGCGCAAGAAGCTGTACGAAAAGGATCTACAGCGGTAAGGTTTTTCTTCGTTAAATAAGGCGGTATATTATTTCAGCGTAAGTAGAATGTAAAGAAGGCATTTTTTGGTTTTTAGGTTGGCGTAAGAGGTAAAGATGTCGTGGTGCTTGGAGTTGAGAAAAAATCTGTCGCAAAACTGCAAGAAGAAAGAACAGTAAGGAAGATATGTCTTCTCGATGATCACGTTGTTATGGCATTTGCCGGATTGACTGCAGATGCCCGCATTCTCATCAATCGCGCCCAAATTGAATGTCAATCCCATAAACTCACTGTTGAAGATCCTGTTACTTTAGAATACATAACAAGATATATTGCTGGTCTAAAGCAAAAATATACCCAAAGCAATGGACGGCGTCCATTTGGCATATCATGTTTGATTGGTGGCTTTGATTATGATGGACATCCTCACTTATTTCAAACAGAACCATCAGGTATTTACTATGAATGGAAAGCTAATGCCACGGGTAGGTCAGCAAAAACTGTTCGAGAATTTTTAGAAAAAAATTACACTACAGAGGAGGTTGCTTCTGAAAATGGTGCTGTAAAGGTAATGTATTGTTTACATTATCTCTTAACAACTAAGCTATAAGAAATTGTAACAATAATTAATGTATGTATGTATAAAAATCTTATATTAATTTACTATCAGACAAAATAATGATTTACTGTGTTAACAATATCATTTTACAAATAATTTTTCTAACTGATGTTGATTGACATATAAGCTAAGTAATAAATTTTTACAGCTTGCTATTCGGGCACTTCTGGAAGTAGTTCAATCTGGACAGAAAAATTTAGAAATTGCTGTCATGAGGCGCAATCAGCCTATGCAAATGCTGGACTTGGATACAATAAATTCCTATGTGTCTGTAATTGAAAAAGAAAAGGAGGAAGAAGCTGAAAAAAAGAAACAAAAGAAATAAAAGTTATCTTTATTAATACTTTAATACATTGCAAAAAGTATATGGTATCTTTTATTTTAAAGAAAGTGAATTATCTATGAATTTAGTAAATCTATAGTTTGAGATATCTGAGAGTAGAGATCCTTTAAATTAGAAACACCTTCTTGACTAGAGCCTTTATTACCCATTATATCAATGAACATTTGATCCCATTCACCATTATAAGGATTCACATCACTTTTCTGTAACAAGTAAAGGTATTAAAAATCAATGTTTAAATATTATGTTCCGATAAATCTACCTATTTACTAGTAGTTCATTGAATTACTAGTAAATCTATATTAATTCAGTCCTTTTTCAGTTCCACTGCTGGGCATGGGCCTCCTCTCAATGTGAAGGGGATATGGCTATATCCATTATTCTGGCCAAGTGCTGGTTGGCAGACTTCACATGTCTTTCGAACACTTGCTAGGTTCTCTGAGACATGAATGTTTCCTTACGATGTTTTCTTTCATTGTATTAGGAAGTGGTAATCGTGGTAGAAATTATTAGCACTAGAGGTACCAGACTCAAGATTTGAACCTGCTTCACTTCGCTTTCTAAGAGAGTACATTACCATGGGAATACCCACTGTTTGAAGCAGATAGATAAATTAAATTATATAATTGAAGAATATTTTAAATTTTGCACTTGTGCAAAACTTAAAATTTAACTTGATCATGTTTACAAATAGTACTATTTTTAAATACAATTTTAATACAACTGGCTCTGGCAAATAAAGACTAAGTATACATTATATCTTAACAAAATTACCTCAACCACACCAACATCATCTATCTCATCAGTTACTGAAGGAAGAACACAATTTAATGAATTACATTCATTATAGATTCGCTTTTTTGCAATATCTCCATCTACATCATGGTTTGTATTGAACTCTGCCAATAGTTCCACTCCAGAATTATCCTCAGTAGATTCTGTGTCCAAGTCTGGCATACTTAGGAACTGTGTTTGGAAGTTATCATTGGTTTGTTGGCAATTTTCAATAGAAAAATCTATTAAGCCATCTTGAGCAGATTTTCTGCAATTTAATTTATGATAAAATTAAAATAATAATGAAATAATGAAATCCTTCAATTCAATTCTCTTGCTATATTTCAAAGTGTGCCAGTTAAGCATAATGAACCTCCCTACCTGCTTGTTTCCCAATGTATTGTACTTTCATCGGCATTTTCATCCCCTTTAAGGAATGATTTCCAGGATAAACAGTCCTATATCCCTCTCAGGGTCTCAAATTATCTTCTTACCAAATTTTATCTAAATCGGTTCTGTAGATCCAGAGATTACATGCTACAATGTCAAACTCACAAACTTTACCTCTCTACAATAGTATAGATGGATTTATCACTAATTAATTATTATCATTACATATTACTACTGTACATATTTTTTTCTTTTATTTTTTAATAAGAATTATTTGAGCCAAGTTTTTTGATAATTTAATGACAATGACAGTAAGATAAATATGTAATATAAAAAAAGTAAAATTACTATCTGCAGCTGTTAATATTTGAATATACTAAATATGTTTAGATAAAATTTAAACTTACTCATAAGTATTTGATGTAGCAGATTCCACTTGAGTTTCAACATCTGTATGTATAGGATAAATGAAAAAGATAGATAGGAAAAAGGATAGGATTTGAATATACAAGGAAAGTATGAAACAGTATTGTGACAACAACCTGGTTTAGAAATTTCTAGTTGTTTCTCTGAAGAATCACTCTTAGTTATAAGCCAATCAAATTCAATATTTTCTTCATCATCACAAATATCTTCTGAACAGTCTGGATGAGTAAAACGTAAAAATACACGATATTTAGTAAAAAGGTGAAGTATTAACGCATGATGTACATAATAGATTTAACATTACTTTTCATACCTTCACTCTGTAAGTCAAGTCTTGATGAATTTAGTATAAGCAAATCCTGCGCTGCCTTTTTCAATGCTATACGCAAAGCCCGTCGTGCTTTTTGCAGAGGCGAAACGTATAACAAATGATCCGAAGTGTCCAAGCTCTAAAACAATAATTATAATAAGATTATATATTTTATAATTCATAAACTAATGTGTACATGTTGCAGACCTTTGGTTTGAGTCCTCTTTTAATACTTTTAATAGTCAAAGCCTTTCTAGTAATTTTATTAAGTAATTCCGGTCTGCCATACTGAAAATTATCGTGGATAAATTCGTGCATGTAAGGATTACTAGAATTGCACAGAGGATCTTGAAGGTGCGACGTAACTTTTCGAAAACCATATAAATTTAACTGTCTTATGAAACTAGAAATGTTGGTTGTTTTAAATATGGAGTGATCACATTGTAAGTAATTTTGCAAAAGCCTATAATTTAATAAAATAGTTCGCCCCGTTCCACCCCATATTATAGCAGACGTTTGCAAATCTAGCAAATACCATAACTTTTGAGGAAAACGCATTTGAAATATAGCGTTCGTAGCTTCTTGCATTTTGTAATTTTAAATTGGGATAGAAAGTAATAATTTGTAAATTTCAAAACTCGCGCTCTAAATGAAGATTGAAAAATAGGTATGCTGAGTCATCAGTGTTGACTGTTGAGTTTGACCAGCAAATCCACAAATTATATGCCTATTGCCTAAGCCACAGATTTTTATAAATACACAAAAATATTTTAACTGTTACTATTGCTAACTTTAAATAAAAACTTTTTAACAAAAAATAAAACCGACTTCCAGGCATTAAAATGTAAAAAATAACTAAACGGGGGTTTTCATTTAGAATAGATACCTAATCAGATATTTTCGAAGTCGGTGCCAGCCGACGCATAGGAAATCTAATATATTTTGATACGTAAATATGTATATATTTACCTATTAGATATTTATATCTTAAAATATTGTCCGCTGGCACAGACTTCGAAAATATCTGATTAGGTATCTATTCTAAATGAAAACCCCCGTTTAGTTATTTTTTACATTTTAGTGCCTGGAAGTCGGTTTTTTTTTGTTAAAAATTTTTATTTTCATATTTTTAGTGTAGACGTAATAAGTAGGTAATTTGTAGGAAGAAAGTTTTTAATAACATATTCGATTAAATAGTTTGTTTAAAAAATATATTTATTGTTGATGTGTTTTAAAAACCGCTCGACCGGTTTCGATAAAATATATATGGGACCACCTGGGAAGTATACCCTTTCAAACAAAACAAAATTTTTCCAAATCGGTTCAGGCGTCTTCGAGTAATCGGTGAACATACATAAAAAAAAGATTCCGACGAATTGAGAACCTCCTCGTTTTTGAAGGTCGGTTAGAAAAGGCTGTTGCTATTCGTCCTTTAACCGATTTATCAGGGATAGCAACGCTATACTGGCAGCACTGCTTTAATGTCAATCATAAAATAAATGAATACCTATTAATTTTATTTAATGCCAATATTGACATTTGACAGTTGACACTTACTAGTTGTTTCTTTGTGTTTTGGTGAATTTGTGTTTTGTATTAAAAAATATAATGTACATACTGCGCTCGTCGCCGCTATAGTACTGTGTAATTGCAACTCAGAACTGCATTATGCAATCTTGTTAGGTAGAAATTGGTGATAATCGAGTTATAAGCTTTGAGTCATAGTTAACAGAGTTGTAACCGGTGTTTTAAAATTATTTATGATAAGTTTTTTAATAAAAAGAAAGTGGAGAAAATTAGAATAATAATTATTTTTTTTTTAAAATATTAATTAATCTGATTAAGAAGAAGAATTATGGTTTTTATCATAACTTATTAAGAGAAGAAGCAAATATGAATAGATCAAGGTATTATACAAAAAATAGTATTGAATTCATATATTATTGTGCTATAAGATTATAAATTATTGTTTCTTTTAGATTTTCTATGCTATTGTTAGAGCCTGGCGAAATATATTTTGAAGATTACTCCTGTACAATGAAAACAAATTCTTCAAAATTAGAAAATACCCAACAAGGTCGTTTGAAGCTTTGTTCAAAATCTCTTGTATTTGAACCTAGAGAATGGATGTATCCACTTGTAAAGCTTCATTTTAAAGAATGTGTTGATATAAATACAGTACAAACTGAATGTAATGATGAGAACATAATCAAAGTAAAAGTTGGGCAATATGCAGAAATGTTAGAAGAGAATATATTAGCTCCATATAAGTTTAAGTATGAACCAAAAGACTTTTACTTTGTTTTTGATTTTTCTTCTGCTGATGAATGCTTAAGACAGATGCATCAGCTAATGAGAGCATCTTCTCTGCATGCTCCAGAACATAATAGTATGGTTGCAACTATTCTTCATTCTCGTTATATGAGAATGACTTTTGATCCAGTTATGATGGAAGATTTTACAGAAAAAATTATTTGTCAATTTCAAACTGAAAAAATTTCTCCATTAGTAAGGCATAATGGGAAACTTGCCTTAACACCAACATCACTTTATTTCCAGCCATTCAGTAATATAGAAAATGTAAGTGTTTTCCTTAAGGGCCTTAACTTAATACATAATATTTAAAGAAACTTGTGAGAAAGGGGATCATTTGCTAAACAATCTTGGTCTGTGAAATATTAAAAGTTTTGGTTTAAGGCAATGTAATGTTAACAGCATAATATTAATATTTTTTTCTTATTCATTCTTTTTTTCATTCGTTTTATTTCTTTATGAATATTTTTTTAATTACAGAGCTCTATTTTAAAGATGAAGCTAGAATACATAAAGAGGATATATAAAAGAAGATTTTTATTAAGGCAAGTTGTATGTATCAGAATATGTTTTTTTATTTAATTATTTTTTGTTTATAAATCTATTTTATTTAAAATGCATACAAATTGAGCAGTATATTTTTATTTTTTTTAATTTGTACATTATTTGTAATAAAATTTGACAATTGAGCTTCATGTTTTATATTTTAAAGAATTAAATAATGATTTTATAGTTAATTGTAAAGTCTGCTTTTATTTTGTAATTTTTATATATTTTCTATTACAGGGCCTTGAAATATATTGTTCAGAAACAAGTTCTGTGCCTCACATATATTTATCATTCCAAACTGAGTCCGAGAGAGACAGTGCTTATCAATTATTAGAAGAATCCCCTCATGTTCTTTTAGAAAGAGTGCATGTAGAGGAAATGACACTACAATGGCAAAATGGAATTGTGTCAAATTATGATTACTTAATGTATCTCAATTGGTATGTATTTAGTATTATTTTAATTAGCTTATTATGTACTTTTTTTGTTGTACCTAATACTAGAAACCCTTTTTTTTATGAGACCTAAGGGGGCAACCTTATTCACTTGGATACTTTAAAGACACATGTATCTAAATCTATACTAATATTATAAAGAAGCAGAGTTTGTTTAAATGCGATAATCTTAGGAACTACTAATCCAATTAGAAAAATTCTTTTTGCATTAGATAGCCTGTTTATTGATGAAGGCTATAGGCTATACTATGTCTAGAAGTATGAAACCGGAATTTTTTTGTAAAAATTACAGGACTGTTGTTTGAAAATTGTAAGACATATTTTATTCAAAATAATTTCCATTGCTATGTATGCATTTTTCCCACCTCTCCGGCAATTTATGAATGCCACGCCAAAAAAACAGTTCTTCTTTTGAAGCGAACCAGTTATCGAGCCATTTTCGCACATTTTCATACGAATTGAAGCGTTGTTCAGCGAGAGCGTGTCCCAGTGAAACGAATAGATGATAATCGGACGGGGCCAAGTCTGGAGAATAAGCCGCATGCGGTAAAATTTCCCAACTAAACGTCTCGATCATTTCCCTGATCCGTTTTGCTGTGTGTGATGGGGCATTGTCATGGAGCAAAATGACATTGTGTTGTCTTTTTTCATATTCCGGTCGTTTTTCACGTAATGCTCGATTTAAATCAATCATTTGCTTTTGGTAGCGATCAGTGTTAACGGTTTCCCCAGGTTTTAACAGCTCATAATAGATTATACCTTTCTGATCCCACCAAACACAGAGCATCGTCTTCTTTCCAAAGCGATTTGGTCTTGCAGTGGATGTCGATGGTTCGCCTGGATTCACCCAAGATTTATGACGTTTAGGATTCTCGAAATATATCCATTTTTCATCACCTGTTACGATTCGATGGAGAAATGACTTTCTTTTGTATCTGTCAAGCAGCATTTCACAAGTGGTTTTTCGATTTTCTTGCTGCCTTTGATTCAGTTCATGCGGAACCCATTTTCCTACTTTCTGAATCTTTCCCATAGCTTTCAAACGAATGGATACTGCTTTTTGCGTCACATTCAATTGATCCGCGAGTTCTTGTTGAGTTTGAGTATCATCTTCATTCAATAAAGCTTGCAATTCGTTGTCTGCGAACTTTTTCGTTGGTTTTCCACGCTCTTCGTTTCTCACGTCAAAATCACCACTTTTGAATTTTTTGAACCACTCAAAACACTGTGTTTTACCAAGAGCATGTTCACCGTAGGCTTCGACAAGCATTCGATGCGATTCTGCGGCAGTTTTCTTTAAATGATAACAGAAAACCAATGCTGTCCGCAAATCGTAGTTCGTAGGCACAAAACTCGACATGTTTAAGGTTATAGAAAAATATACCGGAGTATAGAATTTGGGTTGTTGTGTATTGAAAATCTTCGTCAGCTGTTAGAAGGAGATGATGGTGCTGCAGAAGCGGTCTTACGGTTCTTAAGCTGATGACTAGTACCATCTATAAGGAAATTCCGGTTTCATACTTCTACACCTATGTATATCATCATGCTACTACCCAAGGGAGCAGAGCAGTAATATAACAAATCTGTGTCTATCTATTCCATACTAACTGTTAAAACATACCTAAAGACAAACCAGTTATATTGAGAATAATAAATGTCTAAGTAGTAGTAGTATTACTCATGCCCCACCTTCATACATTATTTTAATAATTATTATAGATAGTTTATTGATGTGAAAAATAGAGAGATACATTTGTCATGCTTATAAAATATCATATATTGTTGAAAATAATTAATAATTCATGTGACAGCTTCTAGACACCAGTAAATCCCTAACTAGCTAAGCTACCTACTCTCATGTTGTTGCATGTAAATCTTAATAGTAATTTGTCATATTTTAGTTAATGTTGAATTTCTGTTTTTAAGCATATTATACCAACAAGGAAATCCCCAAAAAATAATCCAAAAAATAATCCAAAAAATAAATTTATTCAGTTTATTTTTTATTTCATTTCGTAACAAACTATAAAGATATTTGTTTTTCCTCAAGCCTTGCAGATAGAAGTAAAAACGATCTCACTCAATACCCAGTCTTTCCATGGGTCGTAGCAGATTACACATCCGATGAACTGGATCTAGAAAAGGAGCAAACATTTCGGGACCTCTCCAGGCCGATGGGAGCACTCAATCCCGATAGACTAGAAAAATTACTTGATAGGTATCACGAGATGTCGGATCCGAAGTTCTTATATGGATCTCATTATTCTGCACCTGGTCTTGTTTTATTTTATTTGGTAAGCACAATTCTTTGGTTTTGACGATGGTTCTTGATTTTTCGGCACTCGTTTTGTGGGAAGCTATCGATTCAAAACCGGATGGGATAAACATATATAGTGATATTTCATTATTCGTAGATTAGCCGGAGCAGACAGACAAACAGTAATTTAAAAAAATGTGTTTTTCTTATAAAGTACCATATAGTATAATTTCATATGCATTTAGTAAAAAGCTGTTATTTTGACATTATAAACAGACACTTCAATTTTATTTATATGTATAGATATCCTTTGCAAAGCTAAGTTCAAGTTCGATTAGCTAAGTTATAAGAAGAAGGCAAAAAGTAAAGACAGAATAAATATACTAATAATCTAATGAAGGAATTAAAATTGTCACTTTTCTACTAAAAGCGATATTAGCGGCTCACCCTGGCTTCGCTCGGGTTCAACAAAAAAAACCTATCACACGGCAACCCTACATTTTTCCGGGATAAAAAAGATTCTATGTGTTATCCAGACTATAATCTATCTCTGTGCCAAATTTCATCCATATCCGATCCGTTCAGACGTTCTGACGTGAAAGAGTAACAAACATCCATACTCACAAACTTTCACATTTATAATATCTATATATACAGATTTGGTACTAGAAATATGTCGTAGCGCTGACTAGTCGATATTTAATTTCATGCAGCATTATTTAATTATTGAGGACTCATATAGGCTTATGATGCTTAATAGTAGTATGAAAGGAACTCTTACTACTAGGATTTTTTATTTCACCACACATAAAAAGGGCATAATATTTTTTAGCTGTAGATATTGGTATATTTGAGTGAAATAATGTATATCTATACCTACATATAATAAAATTCTGAGTCGATTCTGTACATGAAAATTTTTTTGGAAAATTTTATTGAAATAGTCATTATTACCGATACAGAGGTCGAATCTGTAGTTTTTAGAATGTTTGTCTGTCTGTCTGGGAACGCATCAAGAGAAATCCACTGGACAGATTTTGATGAAATTTGCTATGACGATGACTGGTTATGAGTTATCCGGATCAACTTATAGGATACTTTTTACTGTGGGAGTATATCTCATCGTTCGTATCGTCAAAACGTACCTATAATAATATTATTAAGCAGATAAGTCTGAAAGGAATAACGAATTGATTGTATATTGTTTCAGGTTCGAAAATACCCTCAGTATATGTTGTGTTTGCAAAATGGAAGGTTCGATCATCCAGATAGAATGTTTAATTCAGTGAGAGATGTATACAATAATTGTTTAAAAAACATGTCGGATTTTAAGGTGCTACTGTGATTCTTTTATTTAGTAAAAATTTTAATTCAATTTTAATACAATTTATTTTATTGTTTTTATACATTATAGGAATTAGTCCCAGAATTTTACGATACAAATGCGAAAGGAGATTTCTTAGTGAATACATACGATATTGATTTTGGAGAAAGACATGATGGTACGAAAGTCGACAATGTGGATCTTCCTTCCTGGGCTACTTCCCCTGAAGATTTTGTTGTCAAACTGAGGCAAGCCTTGGAGTCGCAATATGTATCCAGACACCTACATTTATGGATTGATCTCATATTTGGATATAAACAGCGTGGAGAGGAGGCTGTGAAAGCTAATAATGGTTTGCAAGTTTCAAGTTAGATTAAATGTAAAATATATCTATATGGAGTGGATATATGTTTGCTTCTTTTAAGCAATTAAATCTATGCAGATTGTAGCCTAACTTATCTTACAATTTAATTAAGTACATTTATATACATACAATTATAGCAATTAATTAATTTATTATGTTAAAATATAATATTTCTAATATAGATGTTCCGTAATACTCCTTCTCCCGGAATAATACTTTTAACTTGAAGGTGACCCGCGCGAGGCGCGAGCGCCGCGCTGCACGACACACTCGACAAATGCTATTGCAACGCGAAGCCCGTGTCGCTTGTAATTACGCCACTCAGTTATACGTACTCGTTAATTGCTATATGTTAATTTTCTATCTTCTTAATATTTACTAGTATTCGTTTATGTCTTTAACTCTTTTATTGTATGTGCTCTTGGACTATTAATGTGTGTTATAAACTGTCTCTTCTGTGTATCGTGTTTAATAATTAATACAAACAGTTTAAAAGACTTAGTTAACGTTATTTTTCCTTCTACAACTGCACACATCACCAAGTAAGCCTACAACTGGTGACCCCGACGTGATCTAGATCTGGAATTTAACGGTGAGGGAGAATATATATATATTAAGAATGAGTGAGGAAAAAATTAACTTACATGAAAGCAAAGAAGAAATATGGCGAGTCAGCGTGCGAGTTCCGCCATTTTGGCCAGAGGAACCGGCGTTATGGTTTGCGCAGGTGGAATCTCAGTTCGCTTTATCCCGCATTACAACAGATGAGACCAAATTTTACTATTTAGTAGCACAGCTGGATCATCAATATGCCGTTGAGGTAAAAGATATTATTACAAACCCACCCTTAACCGATAAGTATGTGAAATTAAAAACCGAGTTAATGAAACGGCTATCAGCTTCTCAGGAGAAACGAGTCAAGCAACTGCTGATGCACGAGGAACTGGGTGATAGGAAACCATCGCAATTTTTGCGTCACTTATGTAGTTTGGCCGGCCCTTCAGTTCCATCTGATTTTTTACTAACCCTTTGGTCTAGTAGGTTACCACAAAACATCCAGACGGTGATCGCTACACAGATGGACCTTGACAAGGACAAATTGGGAGAACTCGCTGACAAGGTGTATGAGATTGCACCGTCATTGCCGCAGGTAACAAGCGCCTCTTCAACTCAGATGCCAGGGTACAGTGACATGGCTCAGCAGATTTCGGAATTAACCAGGCAAGTATCTTTGCTTACTACTAGACTAGAAAAATCTGAACGGTCACGGGCGACGTCAAGACAAAATAGGTATAATCGATCACGCAGCCGTTCCAAACCCAAGCAGCCCCCGCCAGATCACCCTCACTGTTACTATCATTTTACTTATGGTGAGCAGGCAAGGAAATGTAAAAAGCCATGTAACTTCGATTCGGGAAACGCCAAGGGCGGTCGCAAGTAGCGGCCCACGACTGCCCAACAACAACAGGCCGTCTGTTTGTTACCGATCGTGTAACGAAGATACAATTCTTAGTGGATACTGGTTCCGACCTGTGTGTCTTCCCGCGGTCAGCTATTCGGATGCCCTGCACCAAATCCAAGTTCGATCTCGTCGCTGCTAATAATACAGTGATACATACCTATGGGCCTACTCGTCTATGCCTAAACTTGGGCCTCAGGCGAGACTTCACCTGGAGCTTCACTATCGCGGACGTTACCAAGGCCATCATAGGAGTTGACTTCTTGAGCTACTACAACCTCCTAGTGGACTGTAAGAACCAGCGTCTGGTTGATGGCACTACCACCCTGTCAGTTGCAGCTATCCAGTCGGGAATATCTGACCACATTTCGTCAGTTAAGGCTTTTACCGGGAATACGGAATTCCACACCTTACTACGCGAATTTCCAGAGATAACACGACCAGCAGGTATAAAATCTCCGTCTAAACATAATACTATGCACTTTATTCGAACCACTCCAGGTCCACCTGTTTCTTGCAAGCCACGCCGTCTTGATCCAGTTCGCTTACAAGCGGCGAAGAAGGAGTTCGAGGACATGCTCGCATGTGGTACTGCACGACGCTCGGAGAGTCCCTGGTCTTCTGCACTACACTTGGTGAGGAAGAAGGATGATGGATGGAGACCATGCGGCGATTATCGCGCCTTAAACGCCAGGACTATTCCAGATAGGTACCCCATACGTCATATACATGATTTTTCTCATCAGCTCTCAGGGTGCACCGTCTTCTCCACCATCGATCTGGTTAAGGCGTATAACCAGATTCTAGTCAATCCAGAGGATGTACCGAAGACCGCGATCACAACGCCTTTTGGATTGTATGAATTCCCATACATGACCTTTGGTTTACGGAACGCTGCGCAAACCTTCCAGAGATTCGTCGATGAAGTTCTTCTCGGCTTGGATTTCTGTTATGGATACATTGACGATATTCTGGTCTTTTCTCCTTCTCCAGAACTTCATCAGGAGCATCTACGGCAGTTGTTCGAACGCCTGAAACAGTATGGGATTTTAATAAATACATCAAAGTGCAAACTGGGGCAAGCAGAGGTGACGTTCCTTGGATATCAGGTGTCAGCAGCTGGTACTAAGCCTTTGGAAACAAAGGTCGAAGCTATCCAGAACTTCGCAGCACCGAAAACAGTAAAGGAGCTTCAACGTTTTCTTGGTATGCTAAATTTCTACCGACGCTTTATTCCTAAAGCCGCGCAGATCCAGGCACCGCTTACTAATATCCTCGCTGGCCCACGCATTAAAGGCTCACAGCCTATCTCGCTTACACCTGAAATACTAAAGGCTTTCGATAGTTGTAAGGCTTCCCTCTCGCAGGCCACACTACTATCTCATCCAGATCCTATCGCTGAACTCGCAATAGTCACGGATGCTTCTGACGTAGCTATTGGAGCCGTGCTACAGCAGAAGAAGGGCGAAAATTGGGAACCATTGGCTTTCTTCTCTCAAAAATTAAATACAGCGCAGAAGAAGTACAGTCCGTATGACCGAGAATTGCTTGCAGTATATGAAGCGATAAAGTACTTTCGTCATATGGTAGAAGCTCGAACGTTTATGGTGTTTACGGACCATAAGCCACTCACATTTGCATTTTCACTTAACAGAGATAAGTGTTCACCTAGACAGTTCAGATACTTAGACTTCATCTCTCAATTTACGACTGACATCAAATTTATATCTGGACGAGACAACGTCGTTGCGGATGCCTTATCACGGGTGGAAGAGGTATCTTGTGCCATTGACTACCAGTCTCTTGCACGGTCTCAGGAAAGTGATCCGGAGCTGCAGGAGCTACTTCACAATGGTACAGCCTTGAGGTTGAAGAAGATTAGCACCGAATCGTACGATTTGCCTATCTACTGCGACACTTCACTACCAATGCCTCGTCCGTACATAACAGCAGAATTCCGCAGGCAAGTCTTTGAGATGCTTCATAGCTTACACCATCCAGGAAGTTCAGCTACTGTGCGACTGGTTACACAAAGATTTGTTTGGCCAGGGATTCGCAAGGACTGTAGAGAGTGGGCTAGGCAATGTCTAAATTGCCAAAGAAATAAAATTTCCCGTCACACCAAATCTCCCTTGTCTTCTTTCCCTTCTCCTTCCTCACGTTTCTCCCATATTCACCTCGACATCGTAGGACCATTACCTCTGTCTTCTGATTACAGGTACTGCCTAACAGTCATCGACAGGTTCACTCGATGGCCCGAGGCGTACCCGCTTCGGGACATCACCGCCGAGACCTGTGCTGCCGCCCTCGTGTCTGGGTGGATATCCAGATTCGGCTGTCCAGAAAGAGTGACCACCGACCGTGGTCGCCAGTTCGAGTGCCACCTCTTCAACGCTCTCACAGCCTTGGTTGGTGCGCGCCACTTCCGCACAACAGCCTACCATCCCGCGGCGAACGGTATCGTCGAACGTCTTCACCGCCAACTCAAGGCGGCGATAATGTGCCACGCTTCGCAGTGGACTGAAGCCCTTCCACTGGTACTCCTCGGTATGCGTAATGCCTGGAAGGAGGACCTTCAGACGTCTCCTGCAGAACTGGTGTATGGTGAGCCCCTTCGCCTGCCCGGTCAGTTCCTGTGCCCAAGCGACGACTACAAGACGGCGGACGTCACACAGTACGCGACTCGTCTTCGCGCGTACATGGCAAAGCTGTCACCCCGTCCTACAGCCTGGCACACCACTACATCCTTCTATGTGCCACGCAATCTTCACACTTCTTCTCACGTCTTCGTTCGTCAAGATCGCATGAGAGGTTCTCTGGAATCACCGTAAACGGGCCCCTATAAGGTTGTCAACCGGCAGCCTAAATATTTCACCCTAGATATAAACGGAAAGACTGCAAATGTATCAGTCGATAGACTCAAACCGGCGTACATAGCAAAAGAAGCTCAAGTTCCAGTCCAACCAATAACAGCGCAAGAGGACATCAAACGCACTTCCAGCGGCCGACGAGTCCGGCTACCAGATTTTTATCGACCGTAGTCACGGTCTCCGGGGGGAGTGATGTAGCCTAACTTATCTTACAATTTAATTAAGTACATTTATATACATACAATTATAGCAATTAATTAATTTATTATGTTAAAATATAATATTTCTAATATAGATGTTCCGTAATACTCCTTCTCCCGGAATAATACTTTTAACTTGAAGGTGACCCGCGCGAGGCGCGAGCGCCGCGCTGCACGACACACTCGACAAATGCTATTGCAACGCGAAGCCCGTGTCGCTTGTAATTACGCCACTCAGTTATACGTACTCGTTAATTGCTATATGTTAATTTTCTATCTTCTTAATATTTACTAGTATTCGTTTATGTCTTTAACTCTTTTATTGTATGTGCTCTTGGACTATTAATGTGTGTTATAAACTGTCTCTTCTGTGTATCGTGTTTAATAATTAATACAAACAGTTTAAAAGACTTAGTTAACGTTATTTTTCCTTCTACAACTGCACACATCACCAAGTAAGCCTACACAGATCTTCTTAGTTTTAGTGGTTGGGGGTAGTACTGGCTTTGCTAGCTGGGGAGTCACATAACCACATGTTGTACGGGTGGTATGCCTAAATGCAGTTGCCAACTTTAAAAAAGAACTATATTGTGTCCCCCCACTGCTTTAATAGATGAGGTATATTTAGTAGTGTTAGACTGGAACTTGTTTTGACATAGGCAAATAAAAAATTCGGGTGTTCTGCTGATTCCTAAATTAAAATGGAAAACGAAAGGTTGGACAAACTATAACATTGACTATAGACTATATTATATATATATTGTTGATATTAAATTAATTTTGTCTGCCTGACTGAAAGTAATGAAAAAAATATATATTTGTCAAAGGATTTAACATGGAGAAATAATATGTGCCATGTTCATTTTATTTTCTGCACATCTGCCATGGTACCCCATACATTACCCTTTTAATAATATAACTTTGATTTGTTGATTGATATTTATGTTATAACTAGAGAGTCTAGGAAAACAAAAACAAAGTTATTCCATGGGAACCGTACATTTTTCCGGGATAAAAACCAATGTGTTATTCCAGACTATAATCTATATGTGTGCTAAATTTCATCCAGATCCGTTCAGCCGTTCTGACGTGAAAGAGTAACAAACATCTATACTCACAAACTTTCACATTTATAATATTAGTATAGATCAAAAAAAATTACAGTGTAGAGTTCAATTCATTGAAAGTAATTTATTTCAGTATTTCATCATGTGTGCTATGAAGGATCTATAGATTTGGAATGCATTTACGATATGAACGATAGACATGCTCTGGAAGTGCAAATTATGGAATTCGGTCAAATTCCCAAACAAATATTCACCAAACCACACGTGAGGAAAATCTTGCCAAAAATTTTGAAGCCTTTGACCACTAAAACCTCGCTTGAATATAACATGAAATGTACACATACTATACGATTACACAAAGAAGCTGTGACTTCCGTTTTACGTAAAGGAGACAGAATAATTTCAGTATGCAAAGATGGCACTTTAAAAGTGTACGACTTGGTACAAAATAAGCAAATTAGAAGCGTCATCTTATGCGCCACGCCGTTAAGTTCTTGTGTTATGGTTGATGAGCATATTGTAGCAGCCGGTTCTTGGGATAATGAAATGTGAGTTAAATTTCATATTATTAAAGTTTTAAAACTATACACTGGTTCTCATCTTAGCACTTGTACTTACAAGCGTACTACTAAGTAGCGTATTTTATATCGCGCCTTTTATGGTGTTCATCCCTTGTACACATTAAAATAGGAGAAACTAAAAGAGACCATTTACATATAAAAATGAAGATCATACCTATTGATTATTCTCATTTTGTATAAACTCGTCTACAAAATGCTCAATTAATAAACTTCGGTGAGGCTTGTACCGCCCTGGCCTAACGCCGTGGATAGACCTCACCGCAGTAGGGTAAATGCATCGTTGTTAGTACATAGATATACCTACTTAAAATGAAATGAAACTTACAACAGTCGTGAGTCGCGCATATACAGCAGTATACACGTTTACGACGTATTTATCTACATATGTATCTGTACAGTATGTCTTGTACATTTTATAAAATTAATTACAATTTGGATGTATAAAAAAAAGGCAGTGGTAGCCCAGTGGTATCGCGCTCACTTGGGAAACCGAGTGCAGCGAGTTCAAATCCCGGGTCTCTCACCTCTGATATTTACACGTGCAAATCATTTCCAACATAATTGCCACTTGTCTTAACGGTGAAGGAAAGCATCGTGAGGAAACCTGCATGTTTGAGAGAACCTAGCAAGTTTTCAAAAGACATGTGAAGTCCGCCAACCCGCACTTGGCCAGCGTGGTGGACTATGGCCTGTTCCACCTCGTACTGAAGGGAGGCCCGTTCCCAGCAGTGGGACGTTAAAAAGGACTAAATACATACATACTGAATATATATTATATAATAAAAATACAAATAAAAATGGCGTTTTCAAGACAGTTTTATTAGGTTTTAGTGTGATGTCCGTTGTACTTGTTGTTTACAATTTCATGCGTCATACATTTTTAGTTTACCATGCTAAAGAGTAAAACATAAAAGTATGATTCAATATTTTAAATAAAACCTGATATACATATTTTAATAATTTAATTCATCAATATAAGCATAAATTTAAAAAGTAAACGTAGTGCTTTTAGTTTTACTAATATGTACATATAAATGAGTAAAAGTAAAATATATAGTAGGTTTATTGCCCCCGAAACCCCCTGTGTACTAAATTTCATGAAAATCGTTGGAGCCGTTTCCGAGATTCAGATTATATATACATATACAAGAATTACTCGTTTAAAGATATAAGATGATATTAATGTATTTAACAATTTTATCTTGCAGATATTTATATGATGTTGAATATGGTCGCGTCGTGGAAAGTTTCCGAGCGCACGATGACTCCGTCAGTTGTTTGAAGTGGCTTGAAAAAGGTATTGTTAATGTACACATAAAAAAAATAAAACATTGTCTCTTAATGTTTTCTGTTGAAAAGAGAAAATGTCATCATACTAATATTATAAATACTATCTATTGGGTAGTATAGTAGTATTAAAAAGAAGGGGAGAATAATTACGAACACACGCACATCGGAATTTTATCTATAACTAGCATTGCCCGCGGCTCGGCCCGCGTTCAGATGACCAAAAACCAAATTCTTAAGTTTTACATATTAGTATACTCTTACATTGCAGTTTTTGTATTATTTCTCAGAAATGAGATATTTTTCCGCGGTAAAAAGTATCCTATATGTTGACCCGGATAACCACCTATCACCATACCAAATATCATCAAAATCCCCCCAGTGGTTTTTCTGTGATGCGGTAACAGATAGACAGACAGACAAAAATTCTAAAAACCATTGATTCGGCCTCTGTATCGATAATAATGTTTATTTCAATAAGATTTTCCTAAAAATATCTAATGTACAGATTCGGCTTAGTTATAATTTTATTATATATGTAGATTTATTATGTTTATTAAGTTAATACTACTAACTTTATAATAAGGATAATCTATACATACATACATACATACATATAATAAAATATTAAGAAATCTATACATAAAATATTTTAAAAAGAATACCGTTACTATGTCCAGAATGTACAGAATACACAAAAACAAATGTTGAAATTTTTGACCGTTTATATATATGTGTGCATTTCACGTAAAAAGTAATGACCGAATCTATAGTTTTTAGAATTTTTGTCTGTCTGTCTGTCTATCTGTCTGTCTGTTTATCTGTCTGTCTGTCTGTTACCGTATCACGAAAAGCCACTAGAGGGATTTTGATGAAATTTGGTATGATGATAGCTGGTTAGCCGGGTCAACATATAGGATACTTTTGACCACAGGAAAATATCTCATTTCTGAGAAAAAATACAAAAACTGCAATGTAAGAGTATTCTAATATGTAAAACCTAAGAATTTGGTTTTTGGTCATCTGAACGCGGGCGGAGCCGCGGGCAATGCTAGTTTTAAATAAAACTATCTTTTCGGATTATTTCGCGGATTTATTTAGATTTTTGGTTCCGGACGTTTTGAATGCTTTACAGCAATCATGGTCACGGGAGAACCTAAGGTATTGTAAGGTACTTTGGTGCCATTTTTGAATTTTTGAAATAATTTTGTATAATTGTGGGTAAACACTGTCTGTAACAAGTATATAATGCCTTTGAGACGTCTAAAACCTATGTCAAATATTCGCGTAAATATAAGAAAGTATTAAACTTAATACACTTAAAAAAATCTATTAATTTACCTATCTGTCTATGAACATAATTATTTTATATACTGAAATGAAATGTTATTTCCTTAGATCATCTACTGATATCCGGCGGGTGGGACGGCGTGGTGCGCGTGTGGGGGAACGTGGGCAAGACAGGGCAAGCGCTGCGCGGGTTGAAGGCGGAGTTCGATCATGACGGGAAAATCACCACTATTGCTTACCGGTAAAGATATATTTTTTATTGTCCGACCGAAAATTTGGTTTACGTTTTGACAAGTTTCGGTGCTACGGTTTAAAATTCCATACCCATTGTAGGCATTGTAAGCCCATTGTTTTTAAGAGAAATGCTGTCAAATGCAACGGTCGTTAAAAATACTAACAGTTCCGAAGTCAAGCGCTGTAGTGCCATCATGTGCCAAGTTACAGTTATATCTGTCAACAACTGCCTCGGTGGTGTAGTGGCTAGCATGTATGGCTGCACACTCGCAGGTCCTGGGTTCGAGTCCCGGGTCGGGCCTAGTTTAGATATTGAGTCTCTCTGTGTATGCCTCGCACGCCCCGCCCCGCACAGTAACTCTGACCTAGAAGCCTTCGTTCGGCAGTATGGATTAGTAGTGTGTGTGACAGATAAAAAAAATGGTTTTTTCGTATAAGTACTGTATTTAATTTCATACGCATTTAGTTAAAAGCTATTATTTTAACATTACAAAGAGACACTTCAATTTTATTTATCTGTGTAGATTTGATATTATTTTATTTAAAAAATTGCTCATTGAATAAGGACATTGATAATAATCAATGTCTTTTGTTACTAAGCATTTTTTGTACGTTTCCACTATATGGTAGTTATTCTTATAGTTATTATAATAATTATATAAATTATGCCTACATAATATTACGTTTATTTAAAGTATAGCAAACTTTATAAGTTCGACCTTGGGACTTATTGTACAATAACATTATATTAAGAATGTTACATGAGAGTGATTTTTGTGTATAAAAACTACTACTACTCGGTCTTGATATAATCTTTACAGATAAATAAAATTGAAGTGTCTGTTTGTTATGTCGGAATAAAAAGCTTTTTACTAAATGCATATGGAATTATATACGGTACCTACTTATCAGAAAACACTTTTTTTTTGTCTGGCTGTCTGTCGTCAGTTGTTTCTTCCGGCTAATCTACGAAACGGCTGGACTGATTTTGATGGGACTTCAATAACAACGTTTACCATGGCAACAAACATACGTACATTTTTTTTTCTTAACGCATTCACCAGCGTCAAGTGGCAAGTCAAGCGTGCGTAAACAAGTTTTACTTCAATAAGAACAGAATTTATAATAATATAAAGTGTTTTTAATTATTTTCAGGTACAGACGACATGTAGTGGACATACTAGCGTGCACGTCCGACGGAGAATTGTTCATATGGGACTATTCCACAAAGGAGTTAATTAATAACATATCTATACACAAGTCAGCCGTGACCGGCTTCTGTCTGTTGTCTGAGGACAGAATAGTTACGTCAAGTGAGAGTGGAGACTTGAGTGTCACTGATCTTAGTGTTTCGAATTCCGTAAGCTATTTATTTACGTATGTGCATAAATGTTGTGTAATTTTTATGTATTTAGTTAAAATTATTATATGTATAGATAATGACTTTATATTCCGCACTAAAATATGTTTTAAGCCACAATTATCGCACCTAAGAAAGTAAACAAATTATATTATCATACTAGCAGTACCCGCGGCTTCGCTCGCGTTCAAACTGCCGATATAAACATCAGTTTTACAATAATGTATGGAAGTCTGTCCTGTTTGTTGATTTATTATTACTGCTCCGCTCCCTTGGATAGTAGCATGATGATAGCATGGCGAGAGGATTTCTTACCAGTATATTTATTCCATCAAATTACAATTAGAATTGTAACAATTACTACAGATGTTATTGTTAAATAAGCATCATTGTAAACTGCCAGTTCCGTAAACATCTACAAGGGAAATCTAATCATCGCTATTTTAGGTCTTGAGCTAAGGTCATTTTTTATACTGATAACATCAAAATGGAACACTGTTGTTAAAACGAAAATTTTCAATTTTATTTAAACTACTAGTGTTGAGTCGTGGCTCCGCCCGCGTCATTTAATTTTGTAGTGTGATGCTAGATGGGTCTTTCTCAATAAATAGGCTATAATTCTCTTTTTTTTTGGAGTTTACTAATTAAAAATTGATATTCATAAAAGGCCAGTATGGAAATTGTATGAGATGAGATGTTACGTTTTTCTGCGCAACGTACCTTGCGCACCTGTCACTTTGAAATGTCACAGTGATTAATAATGACGAAAGTATTGATGTATAATTAATATTCAAAGTTATATTAATAATGAAGTAAATAAACCTTGATGTGTTCCATAAGATTTTTCAAAAAATACTTAATGTACAGAGTTGGCTTAGTTAGAATTTTAATATATGTATACTTTTATATCTTTTATCTATACATATAATAAAATTCTAACTATGCCGAATCTGTACATTAAATATTTTTTGGAAAATCTTATTGAAATATACATTATTATCGATACAAAGGCCGAATCTACAGTTTTTAGAATTATTATCAGTCTGTCTGTCTGTTACCGTATCACGAGAAAACCACTGGACAGATTTTGATGAAATTTGGTATGATGATAGCTGGTTATCCGGGTCATCATATAGGATACTTTTTACCGCGAAAAAATATCTCATTTCTGAGAAAAAATACAAAAACTGCAATGTAAGAGAATACTAATATGTAAAATCTAAGAATTTGTTTTTTGGTCATCTGAACGCGGGCAGAGCCGCGGGCAATGGTAGTATATCTATAAAAAAAACATATTTTTCATACAGGTATACCAGAAACAAGTTTCAACAGTAATATCGTCGCTGTGTTGTGATGGATCAGTGTTATGGCTTGGCGGTAAATCTGGTGAACTTTTACACTGGAATATTATAAGTGTCGAGCAGCTGAGTGAACAAAAAGCTCATGACGGTATGAATTTTTAATAGCTCGTTTATATATTTTTTTAAAGAAACATATATAACAATGTATATTTAGTTAACTATAATTAAGTAAAAATGATGATTTTTATTAATTTTGCATTTACCTGTTTGTCTATTTGGAATATTATGTAATCATATAGATCAACTTACCATTTATATTGGTGCTAAATATATAAATATGCCGCATGTTTTTGAAGTGAAACTTCTTTGCGCGCATGAGAGTATTAAATTAGAAAAATACAGCTTTGAGTAAATTTTTCTTATGTAAATCCTTTCAATATTATTCCTAAATCCTTTGAATACCCACATATCTCACTTTTTACCTTATTCTCTGACAACTATCCTTCATTATTAATTAATTTATAAATCTTACAGATTTTAAATATAAATAACAAGAAGTTTTACTTCTAACACGTTTCCATAGAAACTTGTTTTTTTTTATCTTAGAATGTATTAACATTTTTGTATCATAATAGGTATAATTTTTTGTTTCAGATTTAATTCAGAGTATTTATTTCGACACCTCTTCAAAAACTCTTATCACAGCCAGTGATGATAAATCGATAAAAGTATGGCAATTGACTCAAAGATCCTGACCCCCCGTGTTTATGTTTATTTCAGTATTATTTCTATGTAATCAGTTTTATTAAATAGGACTCAATTTTTTAAAAACAATATGTTATTAATGAATATTAATTGATAAATATAAAAACAATAATTAAATTTTATATAAATTCATGTCTTTTATTTACATTAGCGACTTTATCTTGTGTATCTTAAGGTGACAGACGACAGTCTATGTGTTACTCTAGGTTATTTGTTTAGGTTGATCTGTGTATTAAAATTCATCCAAATCCGTAGTTCGTTTAGCGTAAAGGAGTATCAAACACTGAAACATGCGAACATATACAAACTATTACAATAAGAAATATGCGTGTGATTTAAATAAAGTTGAAATATTTTTTTATAATCTCTATTGTTTTTGAAATAAGCCTATTTCAATATTTTTAATGTAATTTTTTTTAAGAAGTAAAAAGAAATAATTTTTAAAAAGTGAAATATAGGTGGGAAATTCAAAGTAGTTGAAACGCACAGTATTGGTCAGACCGAATATGACGTCAAAGTATTATTATAACCGAGCTATTAGCGATTTTGTCGCTACAAACTATAATTTTCATTTTTCTATGTATGATACTTTACGTCACGCCAAGTGCATGAAATGACGGGCGTTTAAAGTATCCGTATCGGTATATTTTTATTTTTTTTATACTAAATTTTAGTTTTTTTGGAGCTGGATATATTTTTTACAATTATATAACGATATTAGAAATTGTATAAAAAATAAAATCACGCAAATTCCCTATTGTAGTAATAGTCGCATCAATATAATATTAATACATGAGGAGAAAACTTTGAACTCCTTTTTAACGATTAAACTTAATGAATTATGGTTGATTTTCAACCACGAGGCGATCACTAGTTATAATAAAATATTAATGGTAATCATGTTAGTCATATAGAATATCATGGTACCTAATTATTTAGAATAAAAATATTTATTGTCTAGCTTTTAAGCAGTAAAGGAAATATTTTTCTCAAACTGTAGTTTCTAAATATTTTAGGAATGGACTCAGTCATTATGCATTCTTATTTCTATACGCCAGGTGGAGCACGAACTGGGCCTCTAGCTACGAGTTATTTATAGCCATATTGGTATAATATATGGATAACAGATGGCGCTTTACGGTCTAAATTTTTAAATATATATTTATGTGTCTCACATAATCGATATTTTAAGATTATATGTCGTCATTCATCCATCAATTAAATGAATCCATCACGCCTTATAATAAGATTATTATGATTACTATTGTTCAACACAATATGTGTATATACGCTTCGATGTAATAACCTGCAACTAACGTATTGACAAATTGATTGTTCTCAAAATTTAAAACTACTCCCCGCTTCTGGAAATACCCGTTTAACTGCTTTAAGTATATTAAAAATCAATTTTAGTAGTTCTGTAAATTATTCCCTATGTTATTTTTTCTTCATCTTTTACTTAAATCATTACAAGACTACATTATATCTATACATATAATAAAATTGTAACAAAGTCGAATCTGTACATTAGATATTTTTTGGAAAATCTAATTGAAATTGACATTATTTTCGATACAGAGTCCGAATCTATAGTTTTTAGAATTTTTGTCTGTCTGTCTGATACCGCATCACGAGAAAACCACTGGACAGATTTTGATGAAATTTGGTATGAGGATAGCTGGTTATCCGGGTCAACATATAGGATAATTTTTACCGCGGGAAAATATCTCATTTCTGAGAAAAAATACATAAACTGCATTGTAAGAGTATATACTAATGTTTTCAAGAATTTGCTTTTTAGTCATCTGAACGCGGGCGGAGCCGCGGGCATGGCTAGTTTACAAAATATATTTAAAAAAATATTATAAAAGATTCAGTTTTACAGCGCGAGAATACTTTTTCTTTTTCTATGTATCTAGAATCTTCATAGCTAGCAAAAGAAATAGACACCACATTTACAATTTAATATCAAAAAAAAAAAATTATATGTACCTATAATGGTTTTTACTACATAATAATTAGATAAGATATGGAGCAGGAAAATGAAAGAAAATGGTATAAGAAACTCTTTTCCCTAGTTATTTACAACTTACTATATGTAGGGAAAATAATATATCAAGCATATTTTAATAACTATGTATATTGTAGGGTACTTATGACAAATTAATTATATTAAAATAAATAGATGTAGATCCAATTAATATAATTAAAAACTTAGTAACATGATAATCCATTGAAATTATTAAAATACAACAAATAATTCATCTACACTGTAACAGATTCTACCATAGTTTTTTTAATAAGTTCACCAAAGTTTTCGGTAGTGTCACAATTTTCACTTTCAGCCATGATCGGAGCTGGTTCTGGCTGCTCAACTGGAGTTTCTTGGGTAACCTGAACAGAGTGGTCTAAGTTTAATAGTGTATTATGACTAAACCAATTTTCATCATTATCTATAGCTTGCAATTTATTGCTTTGTTGATATGGCATTGTCATCAAACTGGTATAATGAGCATCTGTTTTATATTCTGTAGAACACTCAGACATATTTTTGTACATATAGTGGGTATGTAACATTGACGGATACTTCATTAAATTGTGTTCAGACATACTTGTACTTGGCTTTTGCATATAATCCGTCATGTACATGTGACCATAATGATTAAGCACAGACATTTGTGAGTTATGAGCAAATTCTTCAAAACTAGCTGCTGAAAAACTTTGGAAACCCTTAAAATGATTGTCTGAGTGTTGATTGGTTGGTTCATATGTGTAGTTGAGATCACATGGGTACCTTTGCATATTATTTGTCATTGTGTTGAATTCCATTGTATTGACATTCGAATAAGGCGGCCCTTTCCCTTGCAATATGTTAGACGTGTAAGGATCATGATTGCGGTGATCAGATTTATCTTCAAAGCTCAACACATTATTTTTTAAATTTCTATGGTCGAGTGTTTCACTTCTAAAACTAAATGTTTCATTTTGATTACCACTAGAATTGTTGAGATTGTGATGTATATTATTAAAACTTGCTGTGTTTATACAAGATTCCATGCCAAGACCGTGTGGCATGTTCATATTGGATGCAGTGGCTTCTTCATGGGTATGATGGTTTTCTTTTTCATAGATAATAGGCGTACATTGGGCATTGACACCATGTGCTTCTGCCCATTTTCGTTTAACAGCTTCCTGAGCTTCCTCAGTTTTCTTCTCAAGACCTATTCTCATAAGGGTATTAATAAAGTGAGTCCTTACTCTCATAGGGTTAAACTCTATCCTCCCAGAAGTATTGCCACATCCATCTCTTGTGCATCCACATGGAAAGTTTAATCTATCAACTTGGCATTTAATGCCACCCATACTGCAGGAGCAATTATTGGGATTACAGACACCTTTACAGGCACAGCCACAAAATTCACGAGAAGTCCTAATGTCTCTACATTCATCTTTCTCATAGCCTTCAATTTTTCTAACACCAGCAGCTCTTAATAGAGCTCTTCTTTGCCTTGTTGGTACTGGTTGTAAAAAGTAATAGCTGTCTAAATCTAACTCTGATTCAGATATGTCACTTGTTTCTTCCTCAGTGTCACTATCTTCACTTGATGAAAGTGATACACCTTGCAAAGTATGTCGCTCGCTTTTTAATTGTTGTAAAACTTGTCTATGTAATCTCCTCTGTTCCAGTGCATGTTCTGCTAGAGTGAACTTCTGTATGTGACTATGTTCCCACTCCATACCTAAAGTAGAACCTCCTTGAGAAGGTACACAAGAAAAACCTTGAGCTCTCGGAAAGTAGAAAACTGTAACATTATCAAACTGTATATTGTGTTTTATTCTTTTTTGATGGGGTTCATCAATTGTTGCATCATCACATTTTCGTTTGAGGCTACTTCTCAGGGGTTTAGTTATTACTGTTGTATTGTTATCTGCACTCAATTCATCATTACTGTTTAGAAGTGATCTTGCATTATTTTCTTCAGATTCTATTTGTTTATTGTTTTCCTCATTAGGACAAGGTAATTGAAGGTTAAAACTTGGTAATTTAGAATCATCAGGTGTTTCTGAACCGATTCCTGAGTCACTACCATCAGACCGGTCTTGAGCATCTTCTTCTCTATCATTAAGTGTACTGTCTGGTGGGAGACTCCCAAGAGCGGAGTCCTCACTATCAGCTGATGCAGTGTCTGTTTTAATATCTTCTATGTCACTTAAGGTGTCATTATCTTCTAACTTAACAGCATATTCTATTTTACTATCACTACTCTCATAAAACGGAGAGCTGTTTATATTACTTTGTTCATCATTAAAGTTAAGATCTTCACTGTCACTAGCTTTTTCATCCTTTATCACAGGTACACATTCCTTATTCTCTATTTGCTCCATTGTGGGCACCTCTATCTTGCTATGTGAATTTTGTTGACTGTCTGATATTTCAGTTGATTCTACGGGATTTTTGTCCATTGTTTACTGTAAAAGAAATAAAATGATTTAGAAAATAGTTATATTAACATTTGATAAATATTATTATTGTATTATTAGTTCATTAAATACTCTACCTAAAATAATATACATCTAAAATGTATCTATTATTTAAAATTATCATTATTTATATAAAAAATGAGGTCAAATTTAAAGTTAAAACTGTTGCATTAAAGTTCGGTGCAAGATGCCCGTCGGGTTTGAACAGAGCAGCATTATAAATCAAACAAAATGATAATACAAAACCGGTACCTGTTTTAAAAGCCCGTGGCGGCCTCAACGGGCTTCACCGGCCTGACTATCTTCGAATTCTCCAGTCCATTGTGAGTCACTACGCAAGGCACTGATCATGTCCATGCACTCAGATCAGCAGTCAACAACAACTAGGCAGACTCATAATTTTTATTAATTTGGTTATCAATGTTTCCAGCACTAAACAAATATCACTTTTAATATTGCACGCAATAAGGTCCTTTTTATCGCTGGTAAATCGATGGTGACGCGCCGTATCATTCCCTATTTATTTATTTTCTGTTTTATTTTGATAGTAGTTCCACAAATATTTTCTGCCAGAACACAATCACTTCAGCCAGTTATATTTGGTGATATTTAAGATATAGCACATTTTTTAAACAATACTATTATTAAAATAAAATATCAATTTAGAAATTGCACACAGAGAGCCCACTTTTACTAGCAAACTTGCCGTTCCCACTCGCGTAATCGTGTACCAAGACTCTTGAGCGACGCAGGCAAGTTAGAATACGGCAAAAGTTAAAAGATGTCAAACGTACGTTTTAGGACGGTTAGAGGCGTCATCTTCATTTGGTAGCATTATGCTTGCGTTGTTCGACGTGACGTTACCTCCCCCTTCACTCTTCCCCCCGGCCTTGCGACCCTCTGCACCGCGTTTACCCGTCGAAGGCGCGCAAGCGCTATCCTTCTCTTACCGTTTAGTAATACCAGCTCTATATTATAATTTCCCTCTTACATTTTTTTGTTTTATCTTACTATCAAAAAAGGAGGATGTCACTTTCAACATTTTTTCAAAATGTGTTATAAAAAGGATCAGTTTTCTAGTTTAATACCATATTAAATTGTTCAGCAGCGTAGGTTTATCATATTAATATCTGCAGAATATTAATGAATAGTAAATAAATATGTTGGGACATTAACAGACAGCACCATTTAGTTCCATGGTAGGTACGCTACGAGGATTGTGTTATGGACACCGGATAGTTGATACACTATACATATTTATTATTTAACTTTAAATATATACATTTTATAAATATTAACACCCATGACTGGAGTACAAACATTCGTGCTCAAAACACAAATGAATGTCTCCAGCGGGACTCGAGCCCGCGACCGCTGGCACATCAAGTAGGGTCACTACAAATTGAGCCAAACGTGTCGTCGAATATAGTCAATAGTTGTTCATAATTAATAAAAACCTACTACCTATATAAATAAGGTATTTAGTTTTATATAATTATAATATATAATTTTATAATATATTTAAACGTTTTTTATACCTCCATTACTTAAAAGTTATAAATAAAAATAATACTATTAAAGATCTGTTAGCTGTTTATCCCTTTGCTCAGTCACATAAAGATTCGTTCCCATATAAACTTTACTACCCTTTTACCTGAATAATAAAAATTTTAGCCTTTGAGGCTAAGCAGTTTACACTTGGAGTACTTAAAGCAGTCAGGAAAAGCAAACATAATAAATATTAACTTATTTGATATATAATATATTGTTTTGACAAGATCAGTGGCGTAGCGAGCTTAACTCGCGCCCGGGGCACAATACATTTTTAACGCTCCTTACTCCCCCTCCCCCCTCCCCCTCCTCCCCCGCCTCCCGTCGCTACGCCACTGGACAACATATCGCACAAATGTACAGTTATGAACAAACAAACTTTGGCATTGGAGTGCAAATAAAGAGAAAAACTAAAATTAAATATTTTGAAAAGCGTATGGATAAATAAATTAGGGTTTGGTCGTCGAGCAAAACATGTGATAGGAAAACGTATTTCCTGCAATTACCATATACATAAATGTTTATTATTGGTATATTTTAAATTCATATTGAGAGAAAATACCTTTCAAAAAATATCCTACCAGACTTTCATATACATTTTAAATAAATTCTCCCACAAATCTGGGAAGTTTATTAGCCATACAGTTCACAACCTTTTGCTCTCTGGCCAACTCAACACCCGACAGGTCTTGTTCAACACAAGCTCAACGTCATATCATTATTACTATATGCATATCTGAGTAATAATAATATACCAATTGAAAGACAAATAAATGTATGTATAGAAATTGTTTGCTCTACATACATATGTCATAATTTTGAGATTTTTTTAATGGACAGTTCTTAAATCATAACTTTTATAGAGAATTCTTAACTATTTCTAGTATTTAGTCATAATAGAAAAGAATTAACATTTAAGTGCCAAACATACCTTACCTTAGAGTCGCACGGTACTTTCATAATTATCGTATACTAGAATTGCCCGCGGCTCCACCCGCGTTCAGATGACCAAAAACGAAATTCTTAGGTTTTACATATTAGTATACTCTTACACTACAGTTTTTGTATTTTTTCTCAGAAATGAGAAATTTTCCCGCGATAAAAAGTATCCTATATGTTGACCCGGGTAACCAGCTATCACCATACCAAATTTCATCAAAATCCCTCTAGTGGTTTTTCCGTGATGCGGTAACAGACAGACAGACAGACAAAAATTCTAAAAACTATTGATTCGGCCTCTGTATCGAAAACAATATCTATTTTAATAAGATTTTCCAAAAAATATTTAAAGTACAGATTTGGCTTAGTTAGAATTTTATTATATGTATAGATAATTTATATCGTATTTATCGTATGAATTATAAACTGTAAACGTGTACTTTTTATCCGTGTGCAAAAGAATCATTAATAATAAAGTAATTAAAGCCATACCTAGAATATAAAAATATGCAAAGTTTAAACCTTTTTTTCATAAAAAGAGATTCTCAAATATGCAGATTTTTGTACTTCAATCGATGTAATAGATCTTCACAAATTATTATTTCAATTTTCCTTTGCATACGTACAAAAACGCTCGGTCTTATTAGGGACAGGAATCTCTCCTCATTGGGAAGTATAAAAAAGATAATAAGAAAAGCTCACAAACATAATTAATAATTATATATCTGTATAAATCATCTCTATAAACTTATCTCTATCCTAAATCAATAATCTATATCAAAAATAATAAAAACAAATGAACAAAAAATATTTTTTAGCTCTGTAAAACTGTATAAAGTATGCTCTATATAACTTGTAATTTTTTTTTTGAATAATCCATTTTAGTAAATTCTGCTGTTTCCAAGGGTGTTTAAAGGGTAGAAAATATATATATATATATATATTTAATGTTGCATTTTCGCATAACACCTGGTTATGTGGGACTCACCGGCTAGAAAAGCCAGTACTACCCACTAAAGCTCAACAAAACCTGCCCTGCCTTAATGGAGCGTCGCAGGATCACTTACTCACTCAACCACGACGCCCCGATGCAGGTCTGCCGAAGCAGACGACAACAGCCATGGGGTTGCTCCAACGATACACTCTGCTACCAGGAGCGACCCGCTCACCGAGGTAGGCCGTCTCTGGCTGGCTGGCTGGATTGCCGGACGCTAATGAGCCTCCCCCCCACACCACGACAAGGTTGGAGGGGGGAGGGAGCCGTACATAAACATACGCCAATCAAAACATAACTATAAAACAGATATACATAGATAGATAGACATTTTTGTGTTTAGGACATACAATTTGTTAAGAATTCTGGTGCTATATACACGGTAAGATTAGTTGTTGTTTTCCATTGGTATTTCTATCGCACTGTTAATACATACATAATATAGCAAATATTGTCCACGCTTAAATTTCACAAAATTTTTAAAGATAAGGCTTGAATTAATAAATAATTCTATTTTCTGAAAAACGTGTGCACACTACGAGTATATTATTATATTTAATCAATCGTGTCGCCGTTGCCGCGTCACAGACAGATAAACTAACGAACGCTTTCGAAAACAAGCGAACACATACCTACTGCTATTATTGTTTAGTCTAATTTATCACAGATATTAAGTAATAAAATGATTGTTTAGAAAATTCCATGGAAGATAACCGCTTCGTGTATTATGTATGTGTACAAATAAAATTGTTTTATAATTGGTATAGATAACATACATACGTCCGTGCTCATATTACGTGGACTGGGAGGAAAGTAGAATTAAAATATGGCTTAGTATTATTATTAATGAACTAGGTTCAAAGTTAGGACTTGATGAACACGTCTTATACAAATGACGTGAAAAAAGGAGTGACGATTACAAGATGGCTGCGAACTTCTTACTAGTTATTGTACCATTGACTCAAATCTCTTCTGTCTCTTATATACTATCATACTCTTCTGTCAAATACTATAATTAATCATAATTCTCAAAAATATTTTCTTTTATTAAGATTTAGTAAAAACAAAACTATTTTTCTAAATTCAATTTTTATGGTTCTTAGACATTATTATGACTATGATGAAGCCAATTAACTTCTCCAATGCCAAGTCTTAATTGAAAGCGCATTATTAACATTTTGACAAACCTATTCAAATAGAAATAACAGAAAGAGAAGTATGAAAATGTGTATGTTTCTTATTCTAAATTATAAAATCAGTTATACGTCAAATGGCGAGCATGAATTCGTAATAAAAATAGCATTTTGTTATTCAAGGTAATCGACGTGAATATTAATCTATTTTGAGAAACGGTATCTCTAATACATAGCTTTGTAACAAAATATATTACTTTCAACAATTATATCTCTATATAATAAATTATTAAATTGTAAATTCTAAAATTATTATATAAGCAGTTGCTTGGTGCTTGCCGTGCGATATTCTCATGGGTATATAA